GGAAGTCGCGAGGCAGATGTCTATTGTGATAACAACTAGTATGAGGACATGTAATGCTCATACATTGTGGGAGACCAGGAGAACTATTCAACCTGCAGCGCGTAGAAAGAGATACAACCTAGTGGTGCTTGGAATAAGTGGAACCCATTGACGCTGGCGCGACAAAAAAGACTAGTTTTAGGAGAGGTGCAGTTATACTTCAGTCATAAAGAAGAAATTGTTTCACACACAAGGAGTTGCACTGATGCTGTCAAAAGGAGAATGAAAATTATTTATAGAATGGGAATCTCATCAATCCAGCATCATTAAAGCGCTCTTCAATACAAAGAAACAGAGCATCGCATTTAATTTAGTCCAGTGCTATGCGCGCACCGGCGATAAGAATGAAAAGGATTGTGGTGGTGTTTCGTTCTCTGAGCTCAGAGAACGAAACACCACCACAATCATCCACCTGAGCTACAAGTTTTCTCCACCATCTCAAAATGAAAAGGATAGAGACCGATCATGGGGAAATGCCCAGAAAAGCATTTTACCATTCAGATTAAAGACTCAAAGACCAAGTTTGGAATATACAACACTTGATATGAAGATATCATGGGGCAACCTGGATCGAGAGAAAAGGGACCAAACCGGTGGTAGATTTGGAAACCTATGTGTCTTCAACGAAATGGTCATAGATGGTTTTATTGGACTACACTAAGGAGGTCTAATCAATCACATCTGCATCAATAAAAAGTTCAGGAGGACTGTGGTGGAGCAGGTGCCGATATAGATTCAGATAACTAGTTGATGGCTGCCACGATGAAACTGAAAGTAAGGAAGTACAGGAAAACTGGGTGAACAGCATTACGATAGTTTAGTATGGCCTTTCTTCGGGATAATGGCAAACTTAACAAATTCAAAATATTTTTACTTTGAAATCATCAATCGATCAATGTTAGACCACCGTTAGAAACCTGGAGGCACCGGACTGCTGTTGGTATGGGACTCATCAGCACTACGCATTAACAACATCCACTACTCGCAGTGTAGTGAACGTGAACACAGGTGGGGCAACCGTATTGTATTTAGCGAAAATTACAGTTACTCAGTAAAATTGGAAAACCATATCATAAATCGTTAATTTGCAAAATATCAGTTCATCATATCGAACTGGACTGTTCCTGTTGCAAAACATCAATCCATTGTCACTGTTCATGCGTTTCATACAAATTCCATTGTGTCCTAACTCTCCCTTTCTTGATCTTCCCCCATCTTCTGCTGCCAGACATTACGTTGACACTCACGTCATATACTACTTATAAGTAGCTCACACCACAGCAGGATTCGAAACCAGGAAATTCAAAATAGTTCTCGGCAAGGCTCTAGACCTCTAGCGACCTATTCAATGACGAGGAAACTCTCATGGAGAATAAAAGGGAGTGGGACTAAAGAAACACTAACCCCAGAATGTCATGAGGTTGTAGTATGTACCAGTATGCCCAAGCTTTTGAACAAAGTAATTAACTGATTCTTCTCCGGTTGTTCACTCGTCTTTCGAACTTGTCAATTATTCGCTTATATCTTAGTTGTTTTTATTTGTGTGTGTGCATTGCTTACTATATGTCGGGCTTATTTCTGTTTGGCTACAAACAGTTAATCATACCTCATCACCTTCAGTTGGCCTGATGCTTGCTCCGCCTACTAATCTCATATCTGTCTGCATGAGGGATCGCATGAAATAGACTCATCCACAAAACTTTATTGGGGTTTTTGTAATGGCCATTGCACAAACAGGGTCCACCTGAGAATAAAATACCGAAATAGAAGGAATGATTTTTATCAAAGAATATTCAATCGTTCGTCCAAATTGAAGTTAGACACTGAACCACAAAAAGGTTTTGGGCCACCAGAAGCACCGTCATAAGGAATGGATCTCTGTCCATATTATGGATAAGTTTGAAGAAAGAAAGAATAAGAAGGGAGCAATCAATAACAGCCGATGCGGAGTAAGGAAAGTCAAGGCACAAACCAAATGCACAGAAGCAAACAAGCAAGTCAAGAGGAGAATTAAAGCTGACAAGCGTAAATATGTGGAAGACCTAATAGTGGTAGCAAAGAAAGCTTCAAGAGAGAGAAACACGCGACAACTATACGAAAACATAATAAACCAGAACGACCATTCAAGAACATGGAGGGCAAAGCAATCATTGGCATTCAAGAACGGCGAAACAAATGGGTAGGGAACTTTGAAGAACTCCACTGGACCCACTCAACATCGGAGCAAAACTTAAGGACCTCTCAAATGACACTGACCAACAAGCAATTAATGAGATTAGGACGGCCATCAGACAAATCAAGAGAGGTAAAGCTGTGTGACAAAACATTCCAGCAGAGGCAATGAAAGCAGACATAACAGTAACTGCAAAGATGTTGCACGCTCTGTTCAGCAAGATTTTGGATGAAGAATAGATACCGACAGACCAGGAAAAAAGGACACCCCATCAAGATACCATACAAAGATTTCGATAAGTATGAGGACCATAGAGGCATCACTCTTCTCTCGATACCAGGAAAATTCTTCAGCAGGGTGTTGTTAAACGAAATGGATTCAGTAGATACTCAACTTCAAGATCAGCAGGCTGGATTCCGTATTATGTCTACTATACCGATGCATTCAAGACTCTGTGACTCAGTTATAACATGATTGTTTCTTCACAGAAAATCCTAGATAGAAAATGTTATCCATCCAATCAATGTAGATTTAATTCAAAGGAGTTAAGTACGTCTACATTTTCAACGGGTAGTGATACACGACTGAAGCATCAAAACATTTAATATATCATTCACAGTACGATAAAGACTGATATATAAATAAATTATACATACATAACTAAAATCTTTGAGAAACAAGAGCCGAAGCTAGTCACTTTATAGATGGACAGACATTGTCAGTTTACTACACAATCCTAAATGATTCATACTCCTTTAGACTAAATAGTGAAAACTAACATTATTATACTAAAAGAATTAAAAATACTAACGTTTTCTTGAGTTTAGAGCATCGTCTTTGACTATTCTATTTAGGTTAAGTTCAATCAGCAATCAACTCAAAACAATTTGAATGCAAACCACTAAAAAAGTACAGATTATTTTTTTAAGCATTGAAATACAATTATTTTGCGGTATTATATACTATTTAAAGTAAGTAACCTAGCAGTTTGAGCTCGATTATTTTTGATATTATAAATGATTGAATGATCGATTACTGAATAAACGAAAAGGCAGCCAAGATACTTTCCATAATAAAGAAATGTTTCATATGATTTTTGTCTTGACAGAGTGAGTACCTTGGTGATATTAAAGGTTTATCACCAACAAAATATTACGTAATGGTTCGAAATTCATTTCTACAGCAGGGTGTTTCATATACGTTATTTGGCGTACCTCCGATAATTTACCCGCGTTTATCTGAATAATTGATTATTCAATAATCCTAACTTTATTCTCAGTGTTGTGTTATCGATTTGTAGGTTTCATTGATCATGGTTGGGGTACCATCGAAAACAAGAGTACTGGGTAAACATTTCATTGTAGTATGGGACGAATTAGAAGTAGCTACACAAAAACGAATTTGTTTCATGAAATGTAGTTTCAAAAGCAATGTTTGAAGAAAGTTGAGTGACTTATTACTGTAAAAAGATCTTGAGCAAAAGAAAACCAGGTATTCATGAAGAAAAACGTCTAAATTTGTTTCGCTTATTGCGTAATCTCACAGCTCTAGACTTTTTTCTGCTAATAATATTATTTGTTAGATGTACACACGAATTCCTAATAATAATTCAGTATTGCTATAGATCTATGTCTTCACGAGATTTCCAGTATTAGTCATTTCAGTATGCCTCACCGATTTTTCGCATCGTTTGCAGAATGTTAGTGAACACCAACAAATTACATCACTTTTCAAAAACTACAATGGAGTCCTATCAGAAGAGATTTTTAATTAAAAATAGACTATTTGATGCCTAACAGTATTCTCAAGAAAAAAAGTGACTAGAATCGAGCCATTGTTTGAGCAGTAAATAATCAATTAACCATTTATTCAAGACTGTTTTGTCAGTACAAATAGAAAAATTAAAATTTGATTGAGCGAGTGTTACGCATGCACGTAAACACATCAGAAAACGAGAGCAAGAATTGAGGATACGGTGACACGACATGCTACTCTAATCTGAATGTCCCAAACCTCTATTGAGTAAAAGAAGAAGACTTGATATGAAGTAGAAGCTGTATTCTACAAACATCCAGAAAGTACTAGGTCTGAGTCCAGAATAAAATCAGGATCCCGGGCTAGGGATCCGGGTCCTAAAACGTTACAGATAATGAGTATCTATACAGTTAGGTTGAATAGGAAACAACATTGAAGACTGTGACATTGACAGTTAGGACGACCAACAGAATTAGACTTACAAATTATTCTCTTATGATATTGGATGAATATTTTCACAGAGAGAAGCATCGATAGCATTCTTTGGTACACATTGAGATTTTATGTTTCCAAACATTATAATTTAAATAAGGAGACCTAGCCAATTTAGCGAAATATTGCTATGGGTTCAATTCCCACTGGTGAGGTCTTGGATGCGCACTGCTGATGGGTCCCATACTAGGATGAAACGACCGTCTACTGCTTCTAGGTTTTAATGGTGGCCTGTCATTGATCAATCCATAGTTTTAATGAGATAAGTTTCTTTAACTAATAATCACTGGATGCGATCTGCTTAAGTTCGGATGAACTATAGTGCGAATCAATCTTTTAGCGTCTTTATAATAAACTTTGAACGTATCACTATTTAGTGGATAGCGACAAAGAAGATAAGGAACAGTTCCGTCCATTCTAACGGAAAACTACTCGATTAATACACTTTACTTTAAAGACAACTTGTATGCATACAATGTGTGCCAGTAAACATTTTATAAAAGTAGTAGCACATAAACGGATATTTTCAAAACAAATGTCACTTGAATGTCGATTACATCCATAAATCCTTATCTCATTAAATTAGTTTGATGCGTTAACCCAATAACTGAGTGTTGAATGAATAATGAAGAATAATGTACATACTTAAATTGTGTATCAATTACCCTTATAACCAGTAAAATCATGCAAGAATGTTAGAAACATTGAATACAAAGCAAGATCATTTTTGTTTTACAAATAAAATAATATGAATAATATATTTATTCAAATATTTCATCTAATTCATCAACTGCATAAATATCTTTCAATTCTTTTTTACGTTTTCGTGTTTCTGTTTTATTATATGTACGTTCAATGTATTTGCTTTGTTTATTAGACAATAGAGTACTTCGAATCTGAAAAATGAGGAATATAAAATTTCCAGATAAATATTTATATTATTGAATAACTAACAAAAGTAGTACAAAAATATCATGATAAAAAGTGTTTGTGAAAATTAAAGGTCTTTGTCAACCTTATATTTGGCAAAAGATTATTACATAATAAAAAGCCAAATTATTGTAATTTTTTAAAAACTAGATTAATCAGGGAACTAGGAACTCAAAGTCAAGTCACACTAACTTTTCGGCAGTATAATAAAAGCTTAGTGTTCTCGTCCAACTCGAAATCTATACTTCAGTTTATTTTCAGTGTAGGAGAGGGAGGTCTGAAATTATCATCATATATCAAACCGTTGCAAGTTACATGATGAAAACTATAGGATGTTCACTAGAAACGTTCAAAATACATCTGGTAGCATTATTTTGTTGTTTGTATTGTCTAGGTTGATTGGATTTACGATCAAGAGATTGATTTTAGAAACATTTGATATACACAACGTTACTTCGATTTTTACGCCAAGGAAAAGTTCGGACAGAAAGGACAGTAGTTGAAGTTCATAATAGCGTCCAACCGCAGCTAAACACAGAGTTTTTAACAATTTTTTTAACTTGAAAAGGTTACGTTCCACAATATTTACAGAATGCGAAAAATTTCATACCTGATATTTTAAATTTATACTCGTGTAATGATGTTTGAACAGTCTAGATTAGTATGTACAACATGCAGCTGTAATGTACTTAGTTATCGAGGATCTATGAGCAAATGGTGCTTTATTTAACTGGGTCATTTATCAGATACACATTCGTGTACTTAGCTTCGAGCCAGACTTGAAGAGTAAAAGTCAGCGATACTGGTCGATTGAACAAACAGATAGATGGAGTGGGATTCGGACTTACAACACAGTGTTTGAAAGTTAAAAGCCTTAGCCACTAAGCCACCGCTACACCAAAAATGTCTAAGTCAACAAGAATTACTCTCCGCTCTACTGTGCACCTGAAGATTGATGAATATCTAAATAAATGGATTGTTGTATTAATGCTTATCTGTCTAAATAGACACAGATTACGTTAGTGAAGCAAAACATCAATAAGAAAGAATGGATTAAAAGTATTAATATCGACAGTAATGAAGAAGTAAGGCGAATTTTTCGAGGAAAATAAATAAAAATGGGAGAAAATACAATAAATTCCTTTGAAACATCTCTTGTGCATTTTTGGATCACTGAGTGAACAGTGATGAGGTCAGACGCAAAGTATTAGATACAGATAGAAAATCCATTGATTAGGTAGTGAATCTTCAGCTTAGGTGGTTGGGATTTGTATTGTGTCTAATCACTGCCTACTTTGAGGTGATTAGTGGAGGAGCAGGACGGAAAAACCTAGGAGCAACCAAACAAAAGCAAGACATCAGACTATGTAGTAACTGACTCTTGAACTGAGCAGTGTAGGCAGACATGGACCAATTGGATGGAGTCTACTTCATTGTTGCAACCAGCGGTTGGATATATTCAATGACAACCCAACGATTCAGGTGCATTTTCTCTTTATGGCTCCTTAGGTCCTAAGTTTCTAAATTGCCTCATAAATTTTGCATTATTCAGTGAATTCGTATTTTCTTCTGGAATCATATATTCTATATATAATCTCTTTACAGTACCGCTGATATCGTTACTACTTCTAGTAATCTTGGATTTATCTTGAAAGTTAAGCTTCAATATGGTAACGTAATATGGTGACTAGAACCGATGCATATTTGTCAGGTTTTACGGAGCACTCGACTGATTGGAAAAATCTACCGAAACAGAAAATGATTGCATCAGTAATAGTATGGCTGTAATACTCTAACTAATTTCAATCGTTTCATAGACTCCACATAGGAAGTTTGCAGTTAATCACCTCATCTAGTGTTGAGTTACTCGCTTCCCATCAGCGCAACGAAGTACACACGAGTAATGTACTATAATTATGACAACAAATGTGAATTTTAATTGACTCATGTCCACTAAAATGTGTTCTGCATAACATAAAGCTCACTATGGATATGATTATGAAACCGATAGATATGCTGAACTACATGGGTTAATTTTACTGCATGACATGGATCGTGCCTTAACTAAAGACAGCAGTGAATAATTTACAACGAATGTATTCAAAAAGAGTCAATAAACATAAAATCAAAAGAATAAAGGGTAGTTTAAGTGACTTACTAGGTTAGGAGAAATATATTTCGGATTAGAATACAGTACTGCGCCACAAAAGCTTCCAGAAAATATACGTATTGGGTTTAGTGAAAAGCGTGGGCCTAAAAGACAATTATTAGCAACAACGTTTCAACACAAATGACTCCCTATCAATTTATTACCTGAAAAAAATAATAACTTAGTCTACGATATCAGCCAAAAAGTGTTTTAGGAATGATTGTAACACCTTGACGAGCTATGTTTCGTGGTGTAGGAGTAGGGTGGAAGAAAGCTAGAGGTGGCCAAACCAAAACATGGCAGAAATCCATGAAGTCACTGACAAGTGGACTGAGTCATGTTTGTAGATGTAGGCTATAGATGATAGGGAGTGAAGCAGTTGAGCGTGTTGACCGCTTCATTTATCTCGACAGTCTTATCAGTGCTGACGGCCTGGTGTGTGACGAAATCTCAGCACGGATACAGAAGGTTTGATTGGCTTTTGACAACCTGCGTCACTTATGGAGTAGGCAAGATATCCGTCTGCAAATCTAAGGACGATAGTACTGAGCAGCAGTTCCCTCCGTCCTATTCCATGGCTGTGAAACATGGCTTGTAAGAGTTGAGGATATTCGTAGGTTGCTGGTTTTGATCACAGGTGTCTCCAAACCATTGCTCGTTTGTTTTGGGACTATCGATTAAGCAATGCTGTTGTTAGGAAACGGGTGCAAGGTAAGGATGGCAGGTCAACAGATGAGGTGGTTGAGACATGTGTTACAAATGTCCAACCGACGACTGCTTCGTCGAGTTGTGTTTTGCGGTGTAGGAATAGGTTGGATGAAAGCTAGGGGCGACCAGACCAAAACATGGAAGAAATCCATGAAGTGGACTGAGTCATGTAGGTAGGTGTCGACTACCTGGTTGGGGCCCGCGAGATGATAGTAACCAATGGTTAAGACCCTGAGTTGCATGGCTCTAAACCGTTTGCAATGGCCCAGGTGCATTCATTCTTTGTGTTCTCTCAAATCCTAACCTTGAGAGTTCCTCATCACCTTTATCTTTTCTTTTCAAGTTTATTCCATTAGATTCTACTTCCTGAATAATATCCTCGAACCCTAATCTCTCCGATTACTGTGAATACTTTTACTACATCTACTAATATGGGATTCGAGTTGACAATCACGTCTCTGGTCTAATGTGGTATGGAAACTTGAACTGATATACTTACGCACGAAGTTCTACGTTACTGTTGATTGATTGTACGTACGTACGAAGTTTTATGTTGTAAGTGACTGACTGAAATTTATATATATCACATACACACGAGTTGCGAATATAGTTATGGCCAGGTGAGGCGACGACTAGATACGGAAAGTCACGTGTTTACACTGCAGCTACAACTGTTACCTGAGTACACCGAATGTATAATGAGACATTCCATATAAAATGGGAGTCAAATGATCATGTTAGTGTTTTTCGCAGTTTTCCAGATGAATGTTGAAAACAAAAGCTCCAAAAATATGCATTTATAATAAGTACTCACCAACTTCGACCAGTGCTCCACTTTCCTCAGCAATTTGATAAACTCTAAACCATATACGATCATTAAAGTTAACAAATGTAAATGTCTTGTCAATGTATGGCTGTGATCGTGGATGATGATTTGGAGTACCAAGAGTTTGTATAAACAATTCACGAATCAAATTTATATGGGGTTTGTCGGATTCTTCAAAGGATGAGTCGAAAGCAAGCACAGGCCGACTGCTTTTTAAACAATTTCCTGTTAATTTTAATTCTGCGGTAGTGCGAATATTTTCAACAAGAAATTTAACTGATGGACCATTGGGTACACAGCTAAGCCATAGATATAGGTCCTTTTTCTTGCGGGCCTCGAAATAAATGATCTTTAAGTGAGAAAAGGAAACAGCTATAATGTATCTGAGACAAGTTTAGTGTTCAAAGCAGAGGATTATTAATGAACAATTTACACTAAAAATACATGCTCAGTCAGTTGATCAGCTATTTCCTGAATTTGGGAAGAAATACTAGATATCAAAAAGCTGAAAGGATAATCAGGTAAGATTCTTAATTAAACGCCAATATTAGTTGGACTGATATAACATATCAGTGGTGGTCATCCGCATCTTACGAGAAGGCGTTCGGTTATTGTTACGTATAACTGCTGAGTCTTTTGACACAGGATGTAATTAAGCTTACTATACAAAAAGTATAGTTGAATAAGACAATTTTATTCCTACATTTTAAGAATTAATGCACGAATATATCTGATATAGCTAGACTGTGAGAACAGCTATTTCATATCTTCAAACAAACACAGGAAGCAAGAAAAATAACTTATAAAGATACCTTATTAGTGTTGCTCATCTCAGCTAGTTCATTCAGTACCGTTATTCCTTTCTTGTGGTCAAGTTTTGAGTCGGTCTTTCCATGGGGCATCATCCGTAATAAATCTTTCATTAAATGTCGGCCCACGTAGGAAACACCCCTAGACGAAATGATGAGGACACGCTCTCTGTTTGTCCATTGTGTCTTACGTGCAGGTGGTTGGTCAGATAATCTAATGGACGGTAATAACTTGGCTAAAGAAAATATAAACGAAGCAGAATTTACGCTTTTTGGTGGAAACTTTCGGTTTGCTGGTATCACTCAACTTTCTCTTGACACCTGTGAAATACAAATTTGTCTGTAAGTCAAGGAACTTACCATGAAATTTCTTCACAGACTTCTCGCCCATTTTAATCACTGCAACGCATAGAACTGAATGTATTCCTACTTTGTCAAGGTCGTTTATACTCAATATTCCATTTTATAACAAACTAGATATCTAATCTATTTTTCACGAGCTAGTATAAGCTATTTGACGTAAATGCGATATATTCTTGTTGTTACCATACGGTTTCAGGTAGTTGGTAGTGCTCAGTGAATGGTAGTCAAGCCAACCGGCTGCACTAATTCTTGTCAGTCGGCAGACATTTATGAATTTATTCGTCCAGTGATTTGAGTAAATACATTCGTTTCAGGGCAGTATGACTCGAATAGTGAGTCATTATCTCAAGTTACGAGCATGAAATCACAAAAACTGGTTATATTTCGCCTTCGGATGATGTTGACCATGAAGCTTTAGATTTTGATTTCCATGTCATTAACACAGATGAATCAACTGAATCTGGACAAAAAGTTTGGAGGAAAATGAACGAGAAATCGTACGCAAGACATCTTTACTATATTAGCTAACAGGGCTCTTCATCAAGCTTTGGGTTTTTTGGCTCTGTGTTCAGACGAAGTATTTGGACTTTAGTCGTTGTCCTTCATTATCGTCAGATTCGTAATCAAATCGACCGTCGTGTTTCCAACTTGTCTGTGGCGAAGCATGAGTATCTGCTATTTGGATGGAGACGAAGCAGAATTGGATAGGTATCTGTTCAGAAAAAACAGTACCGAATTCCAAAAGTAGCATAAATTCTTCTGGAAAATAACTGTTTCGTGAGAGCAAAAGATATTATGCTAACCCCTTATAAGTAAAAAACTAGTATTAAATAGCCAAATAATTCGGTCACGTTTGATAGTGAAATAGCTTTAAGATATCTGAAAACAGATAGCTATGAATCGGCTAATAACTCGCTGTTAGAATATAGGTGTCCAGGTCGAAGTTCAGATAATTTAATCCTTTTTTGTTTAGGTGACATTTTCTAGTCTTATTCAGTGTATAACGAAATTTTATACTTTTAACTATGGATAAAATGAACCACGTTGGTGAAGGAAATAGAATATCTCTTGTGGTCAACTCAAGATTCAAATAAGTTGTTCAGAAAATTACACCATGTTTGTATGTCTAAGAGTCAAGAGGTGTAAACTTTTCTAACGAACTAGAGTACAGATGTGATCAAATCAATTTAACAGCCCCATGATGACTGAGCAACGTCTAACTTCGACCGACGATATTACTGTTATGTTAACCAATTGCAGATGTCTACAACTTAACACTAGTCGGCAAACGATAATGGATATTTTAGCGTACCACAAGTTATAATTCACTCTTAATACAACCCAGCTATTCCCAACGCTTAGTAATCTCCAACATCAATTTGCTCGAGACATTCTCCCAAATCAGAACATGGTTGAACAGGAAAGAGATTAGATTCCAATAACAACGCTAGACGGAAACCAAGAGGCTCAGAAACGTTAGTATATTTATAGTTTCTTACATGAGAAGATTCTAGAATGTTCCACCAGCATCGACTAGCTCTACGAAACAGCAAATCAGCGTACACCGACGCAATCGCGTATGTATAAAGGTTTATTGCAACCTGTATCCCATTAACTCCGCTCCAAGCTTCTATAATGCAACTGAATTCCGTCCAAATATTAAAATTGATCAACTAAAAGAATTTGATCCATCTGAACAGTTGAAGTTTGAACCGTATCGATAAGCCTAGTTCGTTGATCCGAGTTATTTCTGGTTTGAAAGACTTGCTAAAGATTCGTTGATTATCAAATAATGTTATTTTATGAAATAATGTTTGGACTCCGTAAAAGGACGGATTTATAATGTCTGGGCTTATAAATAGTGTGGAGTAATTCTAGACAAATTCAATCCATAGTGAGATCTAAAATGAAGATTTATTGAATGGATTCTTGGAGAATGAGAAAAAAGCTGTCTCAAATATTTAGACCCAGCTTGTAATTAAAAACTAGCATCTTCTTGGCATTTTTCATAATCAGCGAAATTTTTCTCTTTTTATAAGCTATTTCGATAGACTTTGTGAAGGGGGAAGCATAATCTTTATTTGATAGTGTATTATTTGCATTTCAAGCTTATCTAACAATGTAAGACTGAGAATATACTAAATGTAAGTTGCAGGCTTTAGGATTTACCTTGATTCATTTAGGTAGACATGGTTATCAGTCTGTCATTTTTGAATCATGGATCTGAAGTTATTCGCGTTATCCAGTTTGATGCACTACGTTTTCAGTAGCTGATCCTGTTATCTAGTCATATCAGATGACCCTTATTTACTGTGTGTAGCCTGATTATTATGAATATCTTCAATTGGTTTGTATTTTTGTATGCATACGCATGAGTGTAACATGTGCTTGTCATAATGTGACAATTTCCAGCAATACTAGGGAATACCACGTTAAATAGTGGTCGGAAATGAAATGCGGGATGCTCACTTGTGTTCGTTCCATACTCTGGAGAGGTAAGGACGCCAATCCGCAAGAACCAATTTCCTTCTTTACAAGGAGAAACAGCTACCACACCGGAGGAGTCAAATATGACTGAGCGTTTGATGTCATGGATCGTATCAACGAAGGATGAACTTCAAATGAAGTTCTCCTCAGAAGTTATTGATATATCAGTTTGATTTCATACATTCGGATGAGTTTCTTGGCTGATGAAAATGCAATAAACAGATAAGTTACCCAATTAATTATCTTTACAAAGGTAGACTATTTACATGGATCAAACTGGTTTTAAGGTAAACTGTAAACTGACGGCATTCATTTGGCCTTCTTCACTATAAATGGAGACTGCTAGTCTTCAGTTATGTTTCATCTTTGAGATGGTGAGGTTAATGGCCTGATGTTCTTCTAGTTATGTCTACTTTCTTCACAACCACGGCCAACATATCTCGAAATTATCCTTCCGAGAATATTCATAAGGCGTCCGGAAAGCTAGGTTTTCAGATTCTTTCCGAAAATGTGTAGATATTTTGGTCGAACACATCTACAAACCAATCATGTCCGGGTCGAAAACGCCCTCATGAATCTTCTGTCGAAAGTAGGAAGACGGAATCGACCGGACGAAATAAAAGTATTTGCTAGCGATTTCGTGGTATCGAAAAAATAAAACGTGATTGCCAGAGAATTTAGCGGAGTTACAGCGAAAGCATGATGGTGGCCTATGAAGTAGTGAGGCACGTTACAAAAGCGCGAATAAACAAATGTTCGGTGAACCCTTCACTGGAAAAGTTGATTATAATAATGAATCTTGCTATTTAACCTATCGTCTTTTTCATCGTAAAGGTGAATTCACTACAGACATCACAAGTATTCTGTGCTGGACTGCGCTGTTGACCTTCATTTCTAGATATTTGGACGTCCAAAAAAGAGTCAAACCCGAAATTAAGAGTGGATAGGTTTGAAAATAAACTAGGAAGGTAGTCAGTGCATATTATCAAAGCTGAACTACATTTACAGGAGGGTGTGTAGCGCTGTGTATTAAATGGTAAGGCCTTGCGGATGTATAACATCTTGTAAGGCTGAAGAATTTTTGAACAGTGTTGCAGACATATCGAATTATTTATTCTGGATTCTTTTACCATTGTAGTTCGCCGGTAGTGTGAAACTGTAGGGTTAAAAGCGATTAGGTCTGGTATAATGCTGTTCATATAAATGCTTCCCACACAATGTGGTCAGAAAAGAAGTACTAAGTGACATTACTCAACCGGAGTTTAACCCTGAGTCATAGAACGGAAATTCGCTAACAAGCAATCAGTCAATCCAGCGAAGATAAGTGAACTGAGAACTCAGCCGCACGTTTGATGAAGTTAAGAACCTTCTGTTCCTATTTCTTTCTCAATTTGTAATCTTGGATTTGTTGCAAATCAGCACAATCTCAGCATCATTATTTAATATAATTATCGCTTCGAAATTGATATGTCCTCTTTGTCTTCCCCCTCCATTTACAGGTAACAATCCATTTTTGAACACCAGGTTGGGACATTTAATCTCTCTCGAAGATATAAAAGTTGTATCCATTGACCGGTTTACAATCTGAGTATAAATTTGGACAAACGGAATAATTCCAAGTCAGAACAACTGTGCGGTAGGTCTAGCTATCTCAACTGACTGCTCTCTTCCTAGCTGCATCGGAAGCATACACACATTCATTCACTCACAAACACAGGACCTGTGGACAAGTTAATGGATCCGCGCGAAGTTGCTTACTAGGACGGTCGAATGTAAAGTTGGTATTTTGAAGTTCTTTCAGGTTCTATTTTTCGTAGTTTCATTTATGTACTACTTAATTCTTTCTTCCAAAAACTCCTATTTCACTTATTTTCTTCTCTCAGCTATCTTATGTTTCATCTCTAAATCTCTCAGGTATCATGTGAAGCAATGAGTTTGCTACTACTCCTCCCAGAGACCGTCGGTTAGGTTGTCCTCCTCGATCCACATCGGGCACGATAAACCGTGGTCAGTACGAACAGGAGCCAGATTATCACCAGATTCCCAAGAGCAAATCAGTATGGTAGTTCACGACGTACCAGAACTGGATGGTGGTAGTTTGGATGAAGCTCACATGCACGATGTGCAACAGCGGCGATAGCTATCACGTAGCCTAGGCCTTCACACCACGACGGCTATTTGCAATTCTGGGCTCTCTTGTCCGTACACCTCACGTCCATTAAGTCATCTTATTTGAAGGATGTGGAATCGGGGAGACTTAACTGAGGCTCTTGAGGCTTGGTATAACTTGAGGAATGACCTCTACAGCCACATTAGGTGTAGCGAAAGCCGATCCAGATCTGTGGGACAACAGCAAGAAGGTCAAAAAAACCCACGAAATTAGCAGTTGACCTTGATCAACTATCCCCGGCACAAGACATGAAGATAATAGTTTGCCGGTTCAATGCACTGAGCAGGCAAAAATCTGCAGAGGCTAGGTCCCACATAACTGGCCAACTTAGTTTGAACAATTTGTTCGAAAATCCGACCACGGATGCTGCTGCAGAGGTACATCAGGTGATGAGACAAACCACCAAGTGCCTCTATAGCAGTGTACGAGAACTAAGGGGTAAGCTGTTAGGAATCAGAATTATGTGCTCTCAGATGGATCTGAAGATCTTTATCCCAACTGAAACATGGCTACACCCTGACATTTCAGACGACGAAGTGAGCTTGCAAGGCATGAGATCCTTCCGAAGCGATAGGGTACAATAAAACAGGGGGCCCCATAGTCTTGAAACAATGTACAGAAGTCTTTAGTTCATTGCTAAGACCGAAAAATAACGGTGCACATAATATTTCTTGACTTCGCGAAAGCGTCTGACAGACTCATGATTAATCGCTAAGGTCGCGGAAATGGGCTTCATTGACTGAATAGAACGTTTCGCACCAAGGTAAACAGAGTGCACGCTAGTTGGCGAGAGAGAGTCATAAATCTCTTGGGTCGAGTGTGGAGACAAGCGACAAAACGGGTGATAGGGTTGAAGAATAAAACTTACGTAGACTCCAGCATTTTGAATTATTACCCCTAAATTACAGGAGAATCAGAGGTGATCTGATTTTGGCGAATAACATATTAAGCACACCAAAACTTCCCAACGTAAGCATCTTACCGATGCATCACCAGCACTACCCTTGAGGTAATCCTCAAAAGATGGCACATCAAGGAGCGAATACTCAGGTTTGCGCACACTTTTTCTTAATGGGATTCATCGCAACTTGAAATGCTCTCCCAGCCTGGGTGACCACAACCCTCTCAGTGGACAGCTTCATGAAGAGACTTGATAATCACGTACTCACATACGGATTATCATCTCACTCCTCAACAAGTTGTTCATAATGCATATCATGAGACCTTCTGTTTGTTATCATTGACATTATCTGTGTTTTACTTAGTTCTGAAATCCTCTTCTTATTAGCATTAGAATTTTCTGCTTATTATTCACCGAACTGCTACTAACTGATTTCCAGACTGGTTACGTGATAGCTACTGGTATCGAGAAAGCCTGCTGAACTGAAACAAACGTATTCATTTCAATCACGGGACATACAAACTCACAAACAACTTCCAAATGACTAGGATTAAGTAGCTGGGTGGCTAGACCCACTTAACTAAACACCTGGAACCGTATAAAAAGAACGAGAATTGAGCGTAGGTAGATCATTCGGTTTATAATAGTCCATGAAAAAGATATTGTAGATATTGGATATTCTATCTCCTTCAGGGATTCATGTATTGTTCATATTTATTGAGTAAACATTGTCGTTAACCTTGAGTAAAAACCAATTTTCAAACTATGTAATACGTTATGACGTGTAAAGAAAAGCCTTCGAAAAGTATCCTAAAATCGGAACAAGAGAAAGCTCGTGAGTATATTCCTTGATTTTGAGAGTTTAAATGTTTTGCATGTTCAGGGTTTTGATGCTGATCTTGTGAAATGACAAAGTCGTATACGACAATCTGTTATTGGTTTAATTTACATTTAGTTTAGTACTAAGAAGTGAATAGAATATATTCTTGTCATCAGAGCATTAAGAATAAAGATTTAGCTCTGTTTTATCTGATAGTTGTACCTCTTAATAGGTTGCGTATTTATAATCAAATTGAAAGTGATATGCTTTTGTAAGGAACATTTGTACATCTAAACTATTCGATCGTAGTTGAACATTTTTTGTAATTTTTTAGTGCGTACATTTGAGGGAAGATAAATTTTACCTAATACGTCTTGCGTTTGATGTTTAAAAATGTATGTGTATCTATTTGTATTTTTTTAATTGATATTGTACTCAATGTACAGTAGAACCGATGAAGCTGTAATTGTGCTACTTGTTTCTATCCACGGAAAGGAGGAGGGCTAATTCACAGAGTCAAATTTTATTGGAGTAGTTAGGCAGCATTCCAGTAATAATGCTTCAGTTTATTAAAACTTTTCTATTTTTGGAGTTAAATACAGAATAGTGACTAGTTCATAAATATTTGTCTACCTTTACATAAACACTGAACATATTCTTCACAACAAGGTGTATACCACAAATTTTAAATAGAATAATCTGGTTGTCTGTTAAGTACAGTAATTACGTTTTAACAAGTGTTTCAAGATTAAAACATTAGTAAACATTTTTAGTTTATACTAATCTTTTCTTATTTTGATGAAAATAAAGGTTTTCATCAAATACCTGTTATTTCTTAGAAAGCTTTTTAATAGGCTTAACGAAATGTGAAAAAGTAAAACATTTTAAGAAAATTACTGACGAGGAAAATTGCTGAGTAAAATTCTATGGGAAAATAGAGTGGTTCATGGGCAAATATTTTGTAAAACAATCGTGAACAATTCAAGGTATATTTATGTGATGAGAATAAACTTTGCAACATGATTTAGTAGCATAAGCTCTGAGTTTTCAAGATAATATCCTAAGTCACTTGCAAGTGCAATATTATTCGAGTTGATTCGTAAGCAACGTTTGGCTTGCTTAACCTTATCGAAGCATCCCATACGAGATATTTGTAAGGAAATATAAATGACATACACAATAAGCCAAATACACATTTATATGCTGGGGAAGTAAAGTTTGTATATTTTCCGAGGCATTGCTTTGAACTTAAGCAGCTAACCAAAAGACAAACTTTAAATGACTAATTAAAAAAACATTCCTACCTCAATACGCGCATCTTTCATTTTTAAAAAAGACTGTGCAACAGAAATCGCGTCTGTTGTACAGATGTTGTCATAAATATGACAACTCTTAAATCCCTTACATTCCAAGAGCAACAATGGCTCCCTACTGTCTAGCGTGATTTCGGATTATTTGAACCAAAAACTTGAATTCTAATTACCTAATGAGTTGCAGATTATAATGTTCAAAGTTCATTGACCACAGTGCCTCCTACAAACCAAGGTGTTTGTTTCATATATATTATATATGTTTCTAGTGTCTAATCTTTAGCCAATGGATTTTTTGTGCACATGGTCTTAAAACTCATTTCTGTTATATGTTGTGCACACCTGACCATATTATCAGGAATTTAGGAAAATAATTGATGTTCATTGAAAAAACTGTCAGATGTATGCAATCAACTTGTCAACTTACTGTTGTGATTTGTTTTTGAGGTAGGTAACTAAGCAATAAAAATGAGGACATCTTGTTACGCTTTTTATATTTCGTTCCAAAACGTCGGTAAGTTCGAAACTGAAACAAACAACGTCTTTTTTAAAAAACTGAGAGTTAGAAACCATATTAGATATATAAAAGTTTGCTAATCCGAAGTTCTGTTTCATTGTTTGGGAAAAAGTTACGTCAACTCCTTAAATATAACCTGTTTAAAATGGCGAATACATTTATTAAGCCTCAAAATCTTGCTGAATGATATTTTGAAAAATAATGAAAACTGACTTCCTTTTTCTTGCTGAATGACTAATGTAAGATCAGATAAATCGGGTTAAAGTCTTGTGAGAGCGATTTTTATGATGTTCCAGTGCTAGCTTAAAGGCTACTGAAAGGCAGAAAACAACGAACATCGTCTTAATAGTTCAAGGCGATATCTACCGTTAAAAAGATTTTACCTTAGTTTTAGATTCCTAAGTCAAAATAAAACTTTTAGTGCAGTGCATTCTGGATGATGTGTGCAACTAAAGCTTACTTTATAAATGCAAACTAACAGATTCTTACTCTCTGATATGAAGTCTATGTATTTATTGCTGAAAGATCTCCAGTAGACTTATAGTTTTATATTGTTCGGTAGTCCCATATTAAGATTAAACGGCTGTCTAATGCTTACTTCCTTTCAGTGATTCTTTGACTAAAGATAGTTGATAGTATAAAGTTATGAAGATAAAAGTTTTCAAAAAAGTGTTTTATTTGACGGAGCTAAAAACCAACTATAATGATGATAATGGTTACGTTATATTGGTTTAAATTATTCTGTTAATTAGAGCTTTCTATGATTTTGGATTTTTCCTCATTTTAAAGCAGTCAGTTTGTCATATTAAACTGTCTATTTTACAGTCAGTTATTAGTCGATTATTCTAGGCTCTGTTTACGATCAATACTATCGTTAATTTAACATTAAATTTGATATTTTTATAGAATGAATTATTAGCTGAATCGATTATGATTACATAGGTGTACATATGTACAATGTTACAAATGATCCCTTTCGGTAAAGCTGAATATCAGCTAGTAATGAAATACAGGGTGTGCATCCCATCCAATTTCGGATGTGTTGGCTAGACTTACATGATATATGTACGTTGCAGTTGACTTATATGGATCACGGTATTGATGTTTTAGAGCCGAGACTAAAACTCAGTACGTTGCTCTCTAAACGCCTAACGCGTCACTGATTCTGCTAAGAAGTTCGAACAATTTTCAATCTGCTTGGTGGTTATCGATTCTATTTGTAAGGGTATATAAAGCAATAATCATGTAAAACACAAGACAGTAGTGCCGAGTTTTGATCTGAATATCAAACGAGACGCAGTTGCATCCAACTGATGGTTCCAAAGTAGAAAGAACATGACACCTTGAAATCATCGGCTACCTTAACCTAATTTTGAACCAAAAAAGTGTGACTAAAAGGCTCGATTCAGGTAATCCATTCATAATGTCTGCATGCCAAAAGAGACTGATTAACACTGGCAAAGAACAAACCCTTACTAGTAAAATAAAAATCAGTCATTTAGGTTCACTATTTAAATGTAGCACCAAACTTATATTAAAGCAATTAGATTTTAGCTAATGAGTTTGTAGTATGTACTAATATTTTGAACCCTCATAGCTTTTCTCGATCTTTGGACGAACTAGTGAATCCATTCTTTTCGAGTTAGTTGCGTCTTTCAACCTTGTCTATTATTCGCCAACAACTTTTGTAGTTTTTAATTGAGTGCGTATGTTCATTGAGTGCTTCACTCATTTTTACCTGGCACCGTATCAAATGGAGTTAGTTCGCTCAAATTTTCCCCATTGCTTAGCTTTACTTTTCCGGTATCGCTCCTCATGTCTGTCTGTGTGAACGATTGAATGAAATAAGCTCATTCAACAGGATTTATATTTGGCTATTTATTACCTTTTTCTCACAAAGGTTGTTCACCTAATTTATTTCATAACTTATTCAGTTGTTCGTACAAATTAGAGCCCAACCTCGCACCACTAGATGTTGTCATTCCATCTAATATTTATGTGTTAGCTACTCGATTGCTTTTTTGATATTTATTAATCTAAAATCGTGGTGCTAAAATTAAGTTACATTTTTATCAATCACTATTTGCATATCATATGGTAGTTTTTGCGTCAAAGTCTCCACTTAATGAATTTTTGAAATTATAATCATTACTCTTAGTATCAGAGTTGTTATGTTCTGATAATTAAAAAAGGAAAATAATTCTTTGAAATAACAATTATTTCATTGTGTTATTCTCACAAATCTAAGCAATTCTTTTTTTACCGGATATTGTATACATTTTAAAGCTCTGTGCAAAAGAAAATTGACATATTATGGGAGATTTATCAAGTAGAGATCATTTTATTTTCAGAAAATATCATGTAATGCTTTCGAGATGATGAATCTGATAACTTATTTAGAGTAAAAGTTAAGAAAAAAGGAAATTTTAGTCCAAGAGTGTGTATCTGTTGTCGTGGAATGTCACAATGTCTGAATGGTATCAGATGAATGGATGAATTATTATTATAGGTGATCAAGTGCTTGTTTTAGGCTGTAAAGGTACTAGAATCGTCACTAGATTTGAAGACTCTTAATACATGCTACTTGAAAGTTGTACGTTTAGATGACATAACTATCCAGATTTGTTTACTTGCAATGGTTATCTGAACAATACAATAACTGATAAGTCTGAAAATGTCTTCCACCGGATCGCAATTGACCGGTAAAGTGATCGCTTATTTCTAATGTAATTCAAAGATGAGTGAATTCATTCGTGAAAATCATTGATGATGTAAGGTCTTAAAGACACTTTGTTATGATTTCAGATCGACTGTACAAAAAGTGTTACTTTTTTGTAGCAATAAGGTGATGAAATGTTCTTTTATTTTTATATCTAGTTAGGCCGATATAATAATGTAGCCAATCCCATAAATGCCCTCAAGTGAATGATAAATTTTCAAGGCTGACCAGTTTTAACGTTTATTTACCAGTTCACTTGTTCTTGTTGATTTATATATGTACATCGTCCATCTAGGCTACCTTTTGATCGCATTCTGAGTATCTCCAAAAGTGGTCGACCCAAGTCACTTTTGCCGCTGACTGTTTAACATGTAGTAGGCTTTGGATATTCAGTTTGATATGATCTACATAATCCAGTCAAATACCCTAAAAAGTGAGGCTGTTAACCTACTTCATGTTGCAGAGACTC